ATATGTTGCAATATTCGGTAGCGGGAAGGGTCGATATAATATCGGTACTCGTTTTTTTACCGCCTGATTGAGCTACTGCATAATACGCCCACAAGAAAATGGCTATTCCAATCTCTCACAGCCCAACCCATTGAAGCCTTTTTAATTTGGATGCGTAATCAAAATTATAGGGTTCGTAGATTGGTGTGAATTAGCGAGTAAAATTTTAATGGGAACGGTTCTAGGATGTATCTTTATTAACTTTTTTTAGTGGTGGTATACAGGAAATTATTTTGAAATTAATTACATTTTTTGATATATTGTTTTTGAACGACGATAATAAAGTTTAGTACAAAAAGGTTTGGCTGTGAAGATTGGGTTTTATGAGATCTTGTAGTCCGGTAATATTGATCAATATTGGGAACATGACTTTAGGCTATATTGAACTTATCGGAAATCAATCATCAGTCTAGATTCTATTGCCATTATTAAGACTCATTAACTCCAAAATAATTAACCTGTTCACCTTACAAAATGCTAAACAAATACACATACAGCTCGCATTTCACGACTGCTAACCAATCTAGAGCTACATTATTTAGTCACGAACATTCGAATGTCGTGCGAACATTGAATTTTTATAATGATTTATTTTCTACAAAGTGTACAGTAATAAAGCTCCCGTCGTAAAGATGTTTTTCGATAGTTTTATTTATTGATTGCATTTTAAATACAGTTACCTGCTTTAAATGCTATATCGGTACAACTTTCTCTTAAAACATCGTGACAAATGCTCTAAAATTACACATTACTAAATGCGAAGTAATTAATGAGTCTGATAATGTAAGTAATTAGAAAAGAGGTAGCTAAAGATTCGTTTGGCATTTTAATACAGATTCAAAGAGGTTGCGTATGTAGCGATAAATAAAAATAATCGGTTGAGTATTTTTATCGAAGCGAGAATTTGTTAAAAATTAGGGTTTTACGTAATTGGTAAATTGTTGAGTAGGAGTTCAAATTATTAAGTTTTATTTTCGTTTTTGTTTTTTTTAGCTGGTCTTTTACTTAAGAGGATTGGCAGCTGAAATTTGGTTTTATATCTAAATAAGAACATAGCATTTTTTTAATAGAACAGGACTGTAACTTTTATACTGCCTCGTTGGCTGAGTGGTCGCAAGTGCGACTGCTGGGTAAAAGGGGCTTTCCCGGGTCGGGTAAAATGGTTCTGGGTTTTTAAAAAAAATCTGAGTAGTAGCACGGAGTCTGGAATTGTGCCCGGTATATGTCAATAGGCTCACCCTCTATTACATAGGACTCATAACATAAATAGTGAAAAGTGGGTGTTACATTGTAAAGTGGCATTAAGTACCGTAATGTGTACCTCCACTTACCCCTTCGGGGATAATTAATGTTATATTATTGTACATATTGTGAACATGATTGAAAAAGAGTAACCTATGTAGTTTGGAAAAGAGTAACCTATGTAGTTTCTTGCTCGTTCTTCTCCATAGAGGACTGACCTACAGACTGACATTGTTTGTTATTATTTAATATTTAAATATTTTGTTTTGACGTTTAAAAGTGCCTTCCTGGTCTAATTGAAAAAATGATTTTGACTTTGACTTAGTTATACGTAGCTTCATTGCAATCAAAAAATCAGAAGAACTTTACGTTTATCTGCAACATTGTACCAAAATTTTCGGTAGATGAATTTAGCAGAATTGGTTAGTCTTTACTTTTTATAGTTCCTGATCACAGCACGAACTCGCTGGTCAGTCCGACCACAAAATTAAAGCTGTCCACAAATCCACGACTAAAAGTATTTCGAACGTCCAAATTGAATGTTTTGGTGACCACAACATTATTTTGACCGTTCCTACCATAAAAACAAATGGTCATTTAGTAGCATGGGAATCATGGAATGACGATATGGTATTCAATTTATTCTTCACGCTCACCGTTTTACGGATCATCAGTAGTGTGATTTTTGTTCATTGTTTTTTCATAGCGGCGAAGTTGAAAGGTGTTTAAATTATTTCGTGTTAATTTGAATTAAATTACTGGCTCTTTATTGTTTAATTGTTGGTTCTCCTATTTATATGTATTATTAACACATTAACCGCCGCGTAGGTCATCGGTGACCTACGTTAGCGGAGGATTTGACTTCAGCAGTTTTCTGTCGGCAGTCTAAGGCTTAATCACTATCAATTAAAAGTAATCAGTGTATTTCTAAGTATTTTTTTGTAACTAGGCCTCCGGTAACCTCACTCACACAACGAAATACAACGCAAGCGTTGTTTCACGTCGGTTTTCTGTGAGGCCGTGGTATCACTCCGGTCGAGCCGGCCCATTCGTGCCGAAGCATGGCTCTCCCAAGTTATGCCTCCATGTATCATTACGTAACATTAATTTTTGCCCTTAGTTCTTAGTAAAAGATTTTTAGATTACCTATAGTATTTAATAATATCTTTAATAATACTCATACAACTTACAAAGAAACCTATCTGCTTCATTCACATTTTTTTCAAAATGTCACGTGACAAGATTGTCGCTCGTGCGCACATTACCACCGCGCCTAATGTCACGAAATGATTGCTTCGTAACGCGTGTTAGGCTGCTCGCATACTGTCGACTAATGCCTCCGCGGTTACCAGCGGCAGCGGTCTCATTATGAGCGCGACAAAAAGTCGTAGCTATTATCGCAGCGATATGGTAATCTAAAGCGTAGTAAGTTTTAAGTATAAAGTAAGCACTTTTCATTTAGTATTTTAAAATAGTATACAATAGGACTAATGAAACGCTTAGCAAAAGATAGACATACACATTCCTCAGTTTCTTATAAAGCATTATTATTTATATTAATCTTGGAATTGAAGACATGAAGCGATAATCGATTCTGAAGTTAAATAAAATCTTAATTATAACCTTTAATTGATATTGATTTTAAGATACTTACTGAACAATTTTATTCATCTAACTAAAGGTCACACAAACATCACGTATTTAATTTCCTCTGAATGAACTCAGTACAGTAACCATCAAAATACCGCGACTCATTGGACCACATTGGAACCTAACAGGTTTAAGCGAGTATCCTTTATTATAAATTCATTTGCGCTCAATGTGCGATGTCATGCCTTCGATTATTGCCTCTGATGGGCGTTATTAACGGTTTTATTGTTTTAAAAGTATTGATTTTCGTTTTTTGTAGGTCATTTTTATTGTTAGACTAATACTGGTGGAGATGTAGAATCGTTCGCATGAAATTGATTCAGTAGGTTAGTTTGATAGTATTGATAGTTTTAACAATAGACAAAGGAACTGGAACAGAATGGTCTATAGTAAATGAGTTTTATTTTATTTCAAAGATATAGGCATGTATAAGAAGATTGAACCTAGCCTGCTTTAGGCGCACAAGTAATTCCCATTTATCAACCAATTTAAAAATAAATTCGGTTATGACTCCAGTTTCTGTCATACATTCATAAACTTTATATCGCCATGTAAGCTTATCCTGAAATCTATATAATATAATATATTTTTATACGATAAAAGAAATTCGTGTTAGTTACACTGTTAGTAACTCAAGAACGGCTTCATCGATTTGGATGAAAATTGGACAAAAGGTAGTGCTTAGAACCAGGAGATGGATATAGGTTGCTATTTATCCAAAACTTTTTTTTACTTTTTCTGAAAAAAAAATCCCGAACGGCAACGGCAAAAATCGGGATTGTTCGTTCGAAGTCGCGGGCAGAAACTAAGAAACAATAAGATGAAGAAAATAAACTGCTGTAACTAACTCCATTTAAAATCAATCTTTGAGAACATCACTGGTCCTTACATCCACATGAACAACGAATCTAAATATAACTTCCACCTTTATTGGCTCCCCATCATTCAATATTACTTCCTATGAGTTCTGACATTCCCTATGACCGTGACTTGCATCTCATTTAATGGAAGCCTAGACGTTTGAAGGACATTGCCTGTCGAAGTGTTCTAAGACATGATGTTCCTGAGCCGACTACTATGGATGAACAGGCAATGACTTATCAGTGATGGATTTACAGTGTACACACATCCAGGAAACTACCAGTATAAACTGACCGTCGACTCTTCGGAAAGATGATATAAAGCCAGACCATGATAAATTGGTTTTGAATAGGTCGATGTGTTGTCTGTACCTATGCAATTCAGGAGTTATTTAAGCACTTTAAATTACGTCACAATTTTATTGGTTCGATGATAAATTTTGTTTTGTGTTACGTAATTTTGATCATTAAGTAGTTTAACTACTGGTCGTTTTATTTACAAAATGCTTCTTGTGTTGCATGTTGATGATTAATTACTTATACTGCTACTTATATAAATCTGTATTAGTTCCTTTTATTTCATTAACATTATTTACGTATTGTTTAGATATATTATAAAACTATAGCCTTAGATATTAAAATATAATTTCAATTTAGGCTAATAACTATTCTCTTATGCATGACGTGTAAGCCTTTAATTAACTGTTACACTAGCAAATGCGTATTGTAAACCAATTTGTTGTAATATGATGTGTAAACAGTCGTTGGCTGACCCTAAATAAATAAAAATTTCCTGCATCAACAGGTTATTTCAGATAGATCATAGATTAGATCCAGACTCAAAATAATTAGAAAATCATAGTCAATTTAAAATTTGCTAAAACATTTTGCAGCTAAACAATTAAAGATCCCAAAGAAATGACTGCACGGTTGGTGCGGTGGCTGGGCAAACGGCTGCCGTGCAACGTGGCGCGGGTTCGATTCCCGCACGGAACAACACTTTGTGTGATCCATAAATTGTTGTTTCGGGTCTGGGTGTCATGTGTATGTGAACTTGTATGTTTGTAAACGCACCCATGACACAGGAGATAATCCTAGTGTGAGGAAACGTTTTTTATTAACAAAAAAAACATGATATAATGTTTCTAAAACTCATAACGCAATAATTTTTTATTAACAAAGTTTAATTTATTTATTTTTCTGTCACAGGAGAAACCACACAAGTGCAGTCTCTGTTCCAAGTCATTCCCAACGCCTGGAGACCTCAAGTCCCACATGTACGTGCACAGCGGCTCCTGGCCCTACAAGTGCCACATATGTTCCCGAGGGTTCTCTAAGCACACCAACTTGAAGAACCATCTCTTCTTGCATACTGGTAAGTTCAAAACCAATACAATGTGAATCCTTTACAAGTATTTTCTCTACAATCAAGTAACTACGGTTGGTTTGGTTTACGAATTTAATAAAACAGGTCACTTCGATAAATACATATAATACGTAACATAACAGCACGCCGTTTATGTCGGAAGAGGTAGGTAGAGGTGCACCCTCTGCCTATACCTTCGGAGATAAAATTACGTCACTTAATGTCACTGTACAATGTAACATCCACTTTTCACTATTTATGTTATGAGTCCCATGTGGTGAGCCTATTGCCATATACCGGGCATAATTCCAGACTCCGTGCTATTACTGAGAATTAAAAAAAATACTAGTAATACTTTGCTCGACGCGGGAATCGAACCCGAGATCCCCTTTCCCGGCAGTTGTACTTGCGACCACTCGATCAATGAAGCAGTCAATTCAATAAATACAACACAAATAAATAGAAAAAGATTTTATTTTGGGTAGTATTTAAATCTAAGGCAATAAACGATACCTATTTTTTTCTTAAATAAAAATTGTGTAGTCTGAACACAGAATTCTGTTAATGACTGCACGGTTGGTGCGGTGGGTGGGCAACCGGCTGCCGTGCAACGTGTCGCGGGTTCGATTCCCGCACGGAACAACACTTTGTGTGATCCATAAATTGTTGTTTCGGGTCTGGGTGTCATTGTGTATGTGAACTTGTATGTGTGTAAACGCACCCACGACACAGGAGACAATCCTAGTGTGGGGCAACGTATATTTAAAAAAAAGGAAAAAATAATACGGGGGCACTTTATCAAATTGATGGTCAAATGACGAGCAATCAATCGATTTTTAACACTTTATTTTCTTTTGTTACAGCTAAACATCAAAGAAACAGTGCAAGGGACGCCACCTGAATGGATACAAGACAGTTTCGTGCATATGTTACATATACATATATGCAGATATTCAATTATTATTATAAACGAAGACTTAACAACGTCTTACAAAATATAAAAGTGTGATATTAGAATAATAATTTAATTATAAGTGTTATCTATTTAAGTTATATTTATGATTTGCTTATTTAGAATTTAAAATTAGGGAAATACAAACTGATAATTCGGGGGCTTTTTTAAAATGTAGTTTTTTTGTAAGTGTACATATTTTTTTTCGTTTTATAATTATACGGTTTCATGGACTTTTTGAGGGTGTAAAGTGTTTTTTTTTAATTATTTATTTTTTTAGTAACTTGGGGTGAAAATAAGCAAAACAAAAATTCTGATATTATTATATCCTTTAGTTTTATAGATGTTACGTAGCATAATTATTATTGATATTTATTATCATAAATAATAAATTACAAAATTATTTTATAAGCATAATAAGAAAACAAACGACTATGAAAATTCAGATGAATTTTTAAAATATGTTTTACTATCGAAATGATATTTATCTCAGCGATATATATCAGGTTTTAAAAAAAATGTACGATAATATTTTTATTATATTATTCACATTTTTTCCATTTTTTTCCAAACTTTTGGCACAATATCGAAAAAACTACATAGTGTTATGTAGAAATAATTATGTAAATAATAGTACATAAGGGCTTAGGTATAATATACCTACATTGAGTATGTATATTGTGATTTCGTATTCGTCCGTTTTTTTGTAAATATTGTCTTAAGATGCTATCATGCAACGAATTATTAAATTATGAATATTATTTATATTTTTGGATAAGTATTTCAATAAATAAATTACTATAAATTAATCTGCATTTTATTTTATTCGAATTTACCCTACCATAGGAAAAGATAAAAGTATTGTTATTTAATCCCACATTAAAACGAAGTTAACACACTAACAATCATAGTTAGATGATTATTCCTATATTTTATATAGTTACTCACGTGAATATACTGAGAAAAGCTCTACTAGTTTCGAACCACAGAGGGGTTCTTCCTCATGAGCAGCGTGAGCGGGCGCGGCGATGTCACGCAGCTTACCGCCTGAGTAACCCGCGGTTTTTACTTAGTATAGTATGTCTCCGATAGTTATTATAAAAATAATAAACATATTTTTATTTTCTAACAGATAATCCATAATCCATCAACATTGATAGTAAGCTGGATCATTGAGCAAAAGAAAATAGGTAATCCTATACGATGCATTAAAATTCATGGTCGTAGAATAATGTTGGTACAATCTTCTTAATCTTCCATACATTTTATCACCAAATTTTTTAATTAATTGAAATGTAACCTCATACTAGGATTTTGTCCATGTCATTGATGCATTGAAAAAGTCATATAATTTCGAATACACATGACACAACCCAAACCCGATACAACATATTGTGGATTATACTAAAAGTAGCTCCATGCGGGATCGAACTCATTACACGTAGCGCGGCAGCCGCTTCCTCAATCACCGTGTGATGGAATTGAAACAAAATAAAAAAAACAACACATAAGATTACGCAGAGACCAACAATTCAATAAATACTATATAATTTTATTGCCTACAAAATCATTCGCATTGAATAATAAACATTTTGAAGAGGCGTAACATCACAATGTAAAGTGACAACCTACCAATCAGCAGTGGAAAGATGACACAATGACTGTCGATGTCCAACCAATAACATTAAGTTACACTTTCTAGTCCACTAGGGGTACTCAGAGAAGTCTACACAGTACATAATTACTATGTTGACCATGACTGTTGTTTGTAAGTTAGTAAGATAGTTAGGAGAGCAATGGCCCAATCTTCGAAGTCTTTGTAAGACAGTCGCTCTTACGACTACTGGGCTAAGAACTGCCTAATAATACTTGATGGCATATCTTCGAACCACTCCATAAAACCTCATAAACGTCATCATACGTACATCATGACTTCCTCTCATCTGGCCCCATCGCAGTCATGTCAAAGCAGCGTGAAGCCAGCAAATCTAATCGCAATTTAAAACGTACCTTTATATTTAGAAGTTTCTCGAAGCGAGTAGGCGTTATACACGCAAGCCCTCGACTGATTTGCATAAAACAACTCCAGTAGACTGTATTAAGACTTAATTGTTGCTGCCGCAGAGTGTCCGTGCGTTGTGGGACGCTACATGCACCACAGACTCGATAAAAGCCATACCAACATTTCATTGGCGAGGAAATTCAATGTAGAACGTTATTTATTGGTAGATTTTATTGTTACGATTTTATTTCGTTTTTGTGATGAATCATTGTGTGGATAATCAGCATTGTGCTCTGTTGATATTTGTCGAGGTTATAGAATGAAATGAGGGAACGTAAATAGTGCATAATTCAATTAGTGGTTGTTCTAGGCTGTATCTATACATATACAATTTGTTACTAACAGCTTTAGATTTTCTACGTAAAATAAAGTAGATCAAATATATTTTTGTAATCCCTTTTTTAAGACTTTTAATTAACATACTAAGACCTTCTCCTAAGTGTAACAAACACTTTTCTAAAAACCGCATCAAATTCAAATCGGTTCAGCCAATCCCAAGATATTCGCACACAAACATACATACACACATACATACATTAAAAAGTCAATATAAGAACCTCCTTGTTTTTGAAGTCGGTTAAATATCGAATTTAATTGATGGGCTTAAGCGTACACTTCTATCTTTGTATCAATATATCAATGTATCAAGATAAAGAGCCGTCGTACTCACTTTGGGAACCCCTGGCTTAAATAATTTGCAAACCACCTGTATTTTAATCAACAAAATATTAACTCAGGCTATAAAGAATGAAGTACAACTGACAACACCTCTAATTTACACCGTCTGCTCGTCGCGTCGCAAATAACCTAAAAAACCTAATTACAAAACTAGTAGAATCTCAATTAATTATATAAATTGGATGGTAATATAAAATGGTTTACATAACTGGGTCCAGTAAATAGTGGCTGACATAATCATTTTAACTTTCACCGCGTCAAAACTAATAAATTAAACTTATTGATTTATTTAAAACGATTCTCTAATGACGATGATAAATGCTATTGACTTGAGCTGTTCAGTTTTCGTGAATCTATACAGCGTGCTTTTGTTTTTGGGGGATCAAATAATTTCATTGATGAACATGCACTTTGGAACGAGCAACTGTTTGCTCGTCTATCGGTCAGTCTTCTAGTAAAGCTATCTATACTATATTTTTTAATATTTCAATATTTTGTTTTGACGTTCAAAAATGCCTTCTTGGTTTAATTGAAATAAATGATTTAGACTTTGACTTTGACCTATGTCTTATGTACCGTATGGCCGGAATGTTGTGGGCTTGTAGGTTTTTGGTGTTTTTTCAGAGTTGAAGATCTACAAAATTACTACACTATGGCCTAGACTTTCTTGAATTTTTACAACACATGTAAAGGTTATATTTGTAAAAAAAACTTGCTGTAGAATGGACTGGCGTATTTTAAACCCCTATAACCATTATTGAAAAGAATGTATTCAATTCAAAAAGAGTAACAATGTCATTGACATTTCTAAGTTTTGTGGTGTTGCGGGCGTTTATGGTAGGCGCTAATTGTTTACAATTACTTTTTTAGTCCTTCTACAATCAAACATTTTCTTCAATTAACGCATTTTCAAACGCCAAATTCTGCAAAATTGATAACTGTAAATAAATATGATCAAAGTTAAACCGCCAAATTCTGCAAAATTGATAACTGTAAATAAATATGTTATTTAATAATTTAATTTAATAATAATTATGTATTTCTGTCTGGTTGAAATTTTTGAATCTATGTTGACATCTTCTCTTTAAGTTTAAGTATGACTGATTTTAATGTAATTATGATATTTGACTAAATTTTGTATGACTGCGATGGTATGGTATTAATGTTGTATGGTATGGATATTAATTAATTTTATGGATCTCTTAGATGTCCAAAATAAATGATTTTTATTTTTATTTTTTTATTTATTAAAATTAAATTTACTCTAGATACAAATACAATTTAATCTATCAATTCATATGCATCGAAAACATCAACAGCAATCGGTCAACAACTATGTAATTTTACACGATATTGCGTCTATAAACGGGGCCATTTATAAAACCCATGCTAATGCAGGCATTATGAATGTGGAGTACCCTTATACGCCCACTGGTCGCTTGAATCAGTAGTAAGTTCTCAATGTGATAGTGGGCGAACTCATTGCCATTTGAATTTGCAATCTAGAGCTATAACAGATTTTTTGTGCAAAAGAAAATTACGTTGGCATGTGCGTTCGAGATCTGAGAATGTAGTAATTTATTGAGGTTCTGTAAACAATTTGATAATACATACATACATAACATCACGCCTTTTTATCCCCAAAGGTGTAGGCAGAGATGTACATTACAGCACTTATTGGCACTTTACAATGTAACACGCACTTTTCACTATTTACGTTATGAGTCCCATGTAAAAGGGGGTTAGCCTAATGCCATATACCGGGCACAATTCCAGACTCCGTGCTACTACTGAGATTTTTAAATATCCAGTAATACTTTGCCCGATCGGGGAATCGAACCCGAATCGGGCAAAGGAGTAAATTGTAGTGTAGGCCAACGTTATTTAAAAAAGAAAATAATAAACATTTTTACTATATTCGAATTGAGCTTGAATAGAGTTCAGAATGCATTTAAAATTATGGTATTCAAGTTTTTGTTTTTACCTTCTACATTTTGCAAAGGGATTATTATAAAAAAAAACAAGAAATCTAGATAAATAGAAACAAATCATCGAAAGCTATCCACTTATAGGATAGCAATGAAATGAAATAAGGAAACTGAACTCATTAGTGACAAAAAATTGAAGACAGTAGATTCTATCAGCAGTACTAGATACAGTAGCAGCGCGACAGTCGTCGCGTCGCGGGTCGCGAAATGCTGCTCATGAA